CTGATATAAGGAGAGGCCATGTGACAAGACTGGGAGAGTTCCTGGTGCAGTTTCCCCTCCCTCCCAACCTGTCCTGTGCTGTGCTAAAAGCTGCTTCCCTGGACTGTGAGGATCTCCTGCTTCCCATTGCAGCCATGCTGTCTGTGGAAAACGTCTTCATCCGTCCAGGTGGGGAGCCCCTCTTCCCAAAAAAACCTTTCCCAGCTTTGCAGTCAGGGTATTCTGTGTGTTCACAGGGTTGTGTTTGTCCCAAGGCTGTTGAGTTGCAAAGTGCCTCAGCTGAGAGGTCACCAGGGGAAATCTCTGTGACATAAAAAATAAAGGGAAAAAAACCTACCAGGAAACCAAAATGCACCTCAGCAGATGTGCTGCTGTTGGGCTGAGTGCAGACAGCAGGGACTGATTGTTTCTAGCAAATGGGGCATCACCTCTGCAGTGTCTTTTCTGTTCAATAACTGTTGAACCAAATAGATCATTAGCTTTCTGTGAGATAACTTTCTGTTCAATAACTGTTGAACCAAATAGATCATTAGCTTTCTGTGAGATAACTTTCTGTTCAATAACTGTTGAACCAAATAGATCATTAACTTTCTGTGAGATAACTTTCTGTTCAATAACTGTTGAACCAAATAGATCATTAGCTTTCTGTGAGAGGCTTGACTTGTCACTGCCTCGTTTCCCTTGGTTTTCTAAGTGGAAAATGTAATTTTGCTGTGGTTCCAGGGTAGTTTCAGTAGAGCAGAGTTCCACTAGAGCTGAGCTCAGTCTTTCACTCGTGCTAAGCCCGAGTCTCTTCCATCCTCCTGTCCCCTCCTGCTGCCCACCCCCAGCTGTGGCACACATCTGCAGCCTTTGTGGGTTGTTTTGTCCTGCCCATTCCCTCCCTGGCTCTGCTCCAGTTCTCTCTGTCCTCCCTTAGCTGTGCCCATTGGAACAGCAGCCACAGGCCCTGCTGCCAGCCCTGATAACCTGGATTCTGCCCTGGGCTCCTTCCCTGTCCCACAGCTGTCCCACAACTGTCCCTTTGCTTTCCCATCCTCTGTGCCCTTGTTTTTTGCCTGTCACCCTCCAGCAGCCCTGTGCATGAGGAAGCAGACACATACCCCCATCCTCCAGGCACTTTTTCCAGTGCCAGATGTATGGGATGAGGCCTCCCTGCTTCATCCCTTTCACTTTTGAGTACCCACAAACTTCTGACACCCCCTACCACAGCTGCAGTTCCAGTGGCCTTTGGTTCCTGCCTCCCTCTCCCAAGGAGAATGGGTTGTGCTGGAGGAGAAATCCTTTGGGTGTTTAAAACCTGAGAGAACACTTTGGAAATGTTGCTTTTGCCCCATTTGATGAAGGTGAATTCCCACTAATCTCACAGATCTACTGGTTTTTATCTTTATTTTAAGATCTCCATTACTTTGGCAGTAGGAAAAAGCTGAATTCAATAGATCAGAGGGTGCTGTGGTGGGGTGGGTTCAACAGTCTTGTTTTTTCTCTCACTTGATCCCTGTGAGCTGTGTGTTTATTCCTTTATCTTTCCATGTCAGCCTCTGTATGGATTGTGAGTAAGAAATTCTTGATAAGAGACTGTAATTCTTCATCCCTGGTGCTGACTGATGAGATTAATCATAGATTTAATGGCATCTACATGCTCCTGGTCAGCAATAGTGGAAGGAGGAACAACTGTAAATGCAGCTGTAGAAGGAGAGACAAATCTAAAACTAACAGGAATGGAGAGCCAAGCCTGCCAAAAACACCCAAACAGAAAATTAGGTAGTGATAAATAAAAATGACTTTAAGTGAGATATAACTTATTCCTCAGGTGATCCTCAGAAGCAAAAGGAGGCTGAGCTTCAACACCAGGAACTTGCCTCACAAGTGGGAGGATGCAATGACTTTGCAACCCTCTTAAATATTTTTGAGCAGTGCAAAGTAAGGTATGAAATTCTCCCTTACACTAAGTGGTTTTGCATTGCTCCTAACTCCCAGTTTTCAGCTGTGCTGCAGATACACATCTGTGTGCTCATTCCTAATTTCAGATTTATTCCTTCTTGTGATCTGTAATTTCCATCAAGGCACTTTTTATTTAACCCCACAAAGTATCTGCCTGTGTAGGTTGTTGCCTTTGTGTGACCATAACAATAAAATAGAAGCAAGTTTCTTTGCAAGCAGCTGACAAAGGGCTTCTTTATAATTCAAATATTCCTCTTCTCAGCAAGTCTCCTTCAGCCTGGTGCCAGAAATACTGGATCCATTGGAGAGCTGTGAAATCTGCTTTTAGTGTGGAAAGGCAGCTGCGGGAAATAACCACTAAACTGAAACAGGTAAAAAATAATAACATTTCTGAGCATGTTTGAGCTGCATAAACTTATATTTAAGAGATGTAGTGGATGCTGAGCCTTCGCCAGGTGGCTGCTGCCTTCCTCTAGCAGAAGACAAACCACTTAAATATTTTTGTAGAGCACCCTTGCTTGTGTGACTCAAGTACAGTGGGAAAGAAGGAGAGTTCTTCTCCTTTCCTCGTGGTTTCTGTCCAGAGTTTAAAATCCATGGGATGGAGGAGGTTTAACTGCATTTTCTTGAAGAAAGATCCTGATTCATGTTGCTTTTTCTTTTCCCAGCTGCCAGACTTCCCTAAAGAGACATTTGAAGGCTCCAAAACTGAAATACTGAGAAGATGCTTATGTGCAGGATACTTCATCAACGTTGCTAGGAGGTAAGGAATGAAATTTGGATAACTGAATGGGAAATAAATTATGCAAATTACTTTAAAGTGTGGTTTTATGTTAGTAAAAGTAGCAAAGTAGTAACTGCAAGGGGCTGGAACCTCTGCTTTTGACTGTCTTCACCATCCCAAGGGTGTCAGCAGCTTCCCAGGAATGTCATTTTTCTGTCTGTGAAATGAACTCACCGGCTGGTGAGTGGTTCCAGATATTGAGCTGAAGGGCTTGGAAACCTCCAGTTATCACAACTTTTAAAGGCTTCACTCCCAAATCCTGTTATTATTGTGGTGTTACACCTGCAGTGCTGCTGTGGTAAATTAGATATAAGTATTTCACTCTTTAAATGGTTTTTTACAATTTAAGTCTGGAAGCGCCTTCCTCTAGGTAGATATTTGAGAACTTTTTTCTGTGCTGCTGCTGATTTGTTCAGTTTATTTTGCTGTGTTGCTGTATAATCACAGCAATGTGTGTTTTGTGGTGTTGTTGGTTTTTTTAAATTCCCTTTTTTTTCCAGATCTGCAGCCAGGACATTCTGCACCATGGATGGACATGGCAGCATAGTCTACATCCACCCTTCATCCACAGTGAGTTCCCAAAGCCTGCTGATAAAGCAGAAAAGCATCTCCAAAAGGAATAAGGGACAGGTCCTTTAACTCTTGCTGTAGCTTGTTTTGTGCTCTGCTGCAGTGTTCATTTTGAGAGTGGGGAAGAGCCTCACTTCCTCAGACTTGGTCAGGGTTTGGGTTATGAAGTAAGAGTGATACCTGCAGGACTTTCCCTCTGGCTCTCTGGATCTCATGGGCAATTCTAAATCTGAACACCTAAAACCTGCTAACACCCCCTCACATCTCAACCACTGACATTCTGCAGCAGGTGAGGGTTCTGAAAACCAAACCAGCTGTGAGTCAACCTTTGAATTTTTCAGCTCTACAACCAGGAGACCCAGCTGGAGTGGATCATCTTCCACGACGTGGCCGTCACCTCCAAGATCTACGTGCGCACCGTGTGCCCCGTGCGCTACGAGTGGGTCAGGGACCTGCTGCCCAGGCTGCACCAGGTGGATGCCTATGAGCTGAGCAGTGTGGCCAGGGAGGAGGTGACTGAGGAGGAAATAACCAAGTGGCAGCAGAGGGAAGAGCTGAAAAGGCAGTTTGGTAAGCACAGAGCTCATCCCTCTGTGTGTGTGTGTGGTTTTCATCCGTGTTCAGGACTCCTGTGTGTTTGTTATGGCATGTTCTGGGCTGGAAAGTGTTAATTTGTTTGGTGTAGTTCTGCTTGTTTTATTCTCCTCACAGCTCTGCAAGCTTTATTTGCTGTCCCAGCAGTGTGAATTGTGGTGTTTGCTTGCTGCTTCTTGCCATGCTCCCCCTTTTTGGTTTCTTAGAGCAGAGCTTGAGGAAGGTTGAATAAAAGCATTTTGAGGCTGGCTGTTTATTTGTGAAGGGTATTTTGCTATTGTCGCCCAAATAATGCTGCCCTGGGAGAAGTCCTGAGAGCTGTGGGGCAGAGGGAAAGAAAAAAAGATATCAAAAACCTCAGTCAGCAGTAGACAGAGAAGAAAAGGTCTCACATTTTGGTGAGTGTCTCATTTTGACAATTAATTTAATGCCATACGTGTAAATAGTGTTAATTAGAACTGGTGCCTCCTAACTGATCTGGCTGCTTGACATTCCTGGGATTCTCCTGTCAGCAGGTTCCTAAAGCAGCCAAGTATTCAAAGGGCCTCTTTAGTCCTGAGCTGACCCTTCCAAAACATCCATTATATTGTACAGTAAATACAGACTCTCTTCCATTTCCTTAACAAAGGAAAGAAAATGCAGATTTGTGCTTAGGCCAGCATCTCTTTCTGCCCTGCATTTTTGTATAAACCCATCATTTTAAACAGGAATTTCATTTGGTTATAAATAATGCAGAAGAGCCTCATCAGTTTATGTGAAGGAAATAATCTGTTTATCTGTGTCCCCCTTCACATTATTACTTCATCAGGCCATTGCCAATTAATTGGAGTTTAATATTGACCTTACAGATGTTGTATTTCTGGCACCTTCATGAAAATAGGTGGCTGAATAGCTGACAAGACATAATAATTAGAAATATTTTAACAATGGATGCTGATTAAATCTTCTTCTTCTTATCTTACCAGCCCCCAGAACCAGACTGCAGTAGCTGCTTCACTCACACAGATTTTAGGCTCTCAGAACCTTTGATTTTCTTTTTTATTGTTATTTTAGACAGAAAGTATTTTCTGCTTCTCTTCCCTTCTGTGAGAAGCAGTCCCAAGGTCTCAGTGCTGTGGGGGAATCTGCATTCCTGATGGTGGCTGCTCTGCAATATTGACTTTTCCCATTCCCATATCTGCATGTTTTCCTCTCTCTCCCTCCAGCCTCTGGAAATTTTTTAAAGATAGTTTATCCTATTGTTTTTTCCTGTCCTGTCCTGCCCAAACCTGAGTTTGGGATGTGCAGTACAGAGAAGAAATGGTTGTGTAGAACACAAGCTGCATGTTCTCTGCTACAATAAAAAAGCAAGATTTGGGGATGAGATGAGCCCAGCTGCAAATATTGACATGGGAGCTAAGACGTGATTTTATTTTGAATTTTTTTCCCCTCCCTGCTGTGGTGCAGTCTGTCCTCTCTGGAAGTCATTCAAATGGCTTGCCTGGGACTTGGAGGGGAAAAAAAAAAAAGATTTTATTGGGTTGTTTTTGTACTTAACAAATAGGAGAACTTGTAATGGTGGAGGGGGGGTGGGTTTGACACAGAGGGTTTATTTCTTTTATTTCTTTCTCTCCTCTCCCCCCAGAAGGAGTCACAGAGAACTCTGCAAGGAAGATGGAGAGGAGGAATGATGACCAATCCATCCAGGACGCCCGAGCCCGGTACCTGCAGAGGAAGCAGCAAAGAGCTCAGGCTCTGAGCAGCCCCGAGAAGGAAACAGGGTGACCCTGCTGGCAGCTCTGCTCCCACTGCCAGGGCAGGAGGCAGCTTGTGCAGCTCTGGGGCTGTTTGCAAACTGCCAGAGGACTGACAGGAGTGCAGGGAAACCTGTGGTCAGTCCCAGTGCCAAAGAGGACAAGCACAATTCCCTCTGCTGCATCCAGCAGGGAAAACTTCCCAAGCTGAGCTGTGTTGCTGCAGGTCAGTGGTAACAATTTCGTGGCCTCAGCTGTGGCTTCAGCCCTGATACCAAGTGTGGTGCCAATTCTCTGGCATTTATTTGACTTAAAGAGCACTCAGTGCTGTTACAAATGAAATTTTTCTCCAAGGTCGGTTGGGGTTTATTTTTGTAAGGAGGGGAACTGTAAGGTTTTTTTACCCATTTCATCCTGTCTGATGGTGGTCATACAGAATTAATGCTCAGGGAATTGTGTAGGAAGAGCTCTTTTAGTGGTGGAAGCAGCAGGATTAAATCCAAAGGGACATTTCCCACCTGCATTCCGTGTTGTGCTGTACCAGGTAGACACCAGGTAATAAAAAGTGTTCTTTCTTGAGCATCTGAAAGAGCAAGGAGCTATGGTGCTTTGACATCATAAAGTTTGTTTCCTTCTCAATAAAGCAATCCTGTTTTATCACCATAATAATCCTAAAATGCTCCAGGGCTCAAGTGAGGAGTTTGTGTAAGAATTTCTAAATAATTGGAAGAACTTGATGTGATTTTTTCCTGCCTCAGCTCTGTGCTCTGTGTCACCCTGGGCACTGGTTCAAGTGGTGTATTGTGTTTTATTACTGTAGCCTGAATAAAACATTCACCATTCCACCTCTGCCTCACCTCAAGCATTCCAGCACTGCCCAGGATCCCAAAGCCTCCAAATCCATAGCATTTTTTTTGGAATATTACAATATTATTGCTCATAAAGAAACTGCTAGGTCTGGTAATTGTTCCTCTTCCTGTGATTGATGGGATAGGGTTTTTTGTTCTTTCAGGCTCTGCTTTGGAGCAGCAGCACTTGGGCTTGACTCATCCTCTGCTCTGAATTTTGCTGTTTAATTTGATTTATATTTGCAGTGTCACAGCCTCTTATGAGTCAAATGCCATCTGCACCACCCAGTGGGCCTGAAATGAGTACACAGAATGCCCACTGTTCCTTGGGGCTATAAATCACTTGGCACATCCTAATGCTGATTTTTTTACAGTTGTTTTTTTTTTTTTTCACTTTATTCATAGGAAGAAATGAGGGATTTTTTTCCCCACTGTGTTCCAGGGCTTCTCAGAGGTTTGGAGGTGGGGAATTTAAGACAAAGTAAAAATTATCTGGGGAAGTTAACAGTGAGCTGCAAAATAAGATTTCAGCCATGCCAAGTGTGACAGCACACAGAGGTCTGGATGCTGCAGTCATCCCAGGAAAAAGTTAAGTTTTTACCTGTTTTACGTGCTGGAGTTCAAGTGTGGGTTAATAAAACACAGAGGGAAATGTGGAGCCTCGTTACTGAGCTGTACTCATTAACAGGGGCATGGGAGAGTCCGGGGAGCATCCCTGGGGGTGAGGGACAGGGACAGCAGGGCTGGGAGATCCACCGGATCCTGGGGACAGGGACAGCAGGGACAGGGGCAGCAGGGCTGGGAAATCTGCTGGATCCTGGGGACAGGGACAGCAGGGCTGGGGGATCCACAGGATCCTGGGGACAGGGACAGCAGGGCTGGGAGATCCACAGGGACAGCAGGGCTGGGGGATCCACCAGATCCTGGGGACAGGGACACTGGGGATGGGGGATCCCCTGGATCCTGGGGACAGGGACAGCAGGACTGGGGGATCCCCTGGATCCTGGGGACAGGGACACTCTGGGGATGGAGGATCCATCAGATCCCAGGGACAGGGACAGCAGGGCTGGGAGATCCACCAGATCCTGGGGACAGGGACAGCAAGGACAGGGACACTCTGGGACTGGGGGATCCACCAGATCCTGGGGATGGGGACACTCTGGGGATGGGGAATCCATCAGATCCCGGGGACAGGGACACCCTTGTCCCCTCGATGCGGCTCCATCACATCCCGACGACAGCGACACCCTGGCAGAGTGGCTTGGGATCCATCGCATCCCCGCTGACAGGGACATCCCCTCAGCGTCCCCAGGGAGGGGACATCCCTCCCGCCTTGCTGACGGGGACACCCCTCGGCGGGGACAGGCGTGTCCGTGGCATCCCGGTGACAGAGCCAGCCTGGGGGGGGTGGTCCGGGGGCTCCCTGCGGTGTCCCCCGGTGTCCCCCGGTGTCCCCCCGGTGTCCCCCGGTGTCACCTTGCCCGGCCGCGCCGCCCCGCCCCACGTGACCGCGCGCGCGGGGCGGAAGTGACGCCGCCGCCCCTCGGTCGCATGATGTGGCATAAAAAAAAAAAAGGCCGGGGGAAAGGCAGGCAGGGAGTGATGCGTCCGCAAATAGTCCCTTCCGGCGGCGCATCACACCCGCCGCTCCCATTGGCGCCGCTCGCCGGGATCCCTCCGCGCGGCCGGCCGGCCGGCGGCAGGTGCGGGTATCCTTCCGCAGCAATATCCTTCCGCCGGCGGGGGCAGCTTCCGCACGGCCCCGCTCCGCCATCGCGGCCCCGCTCCGTCCGCACCGCTGAGCCCGGCCCGGCCCGGAGCGCCCCGCCGCCGCCATGGCCCAGATCCTGCCCATCCGCTTCCAGGAGCATCTCCAGGTGGGCGCGGGGGCGGGCGGGCCGCTGCTTGGCTGCCGCCGGGGGAGCCGCGCCGGGCCCGCCCGCGGTGCCTCCGTGAGGGCCGGGCGTGCTCGCCCCGCCGGTGTCCGGCTCGGGGAGCGCTTCCGCAGGGGCAGCAGCTCCCGGGAAGGGCCGGGGCGGGCCCGGCGGGGCGGGCCGGGCGCGGGTGGCTCCTCTGCGCCGGCCGGGGCAGCGCCGCGGGCAGGTCCCGGCCCGGCACGGCGGGCGAGCCGGGCAGCCGGCCGAGCTCGCGTCCGTGCGCCGCTTAATTGTATTGCTTTGAATGGCGCTAAAGGCTCTGTGGGTCGAGGGGCAGGCGGAAGCGTTCTGCCGCTGTTCCCGCTTGGGATGTAATTTTCTGGAAGGAGCAGCGCGTATTGCAGCGAGACGTGGGAGCTGCTGCGGCTCCCTGCAGTGCAGCTGTGGCAGTGCAGGTGCCCAGGTGCCAGCTCTGCTGCCCGCTGGCCTCTCCCCCAGCCCGGCTCTGGCTCTCATCGCGCCAGAACCACATGCTAATAGTTTATTTCCGAGTGGTGGCATTTAATTTCTGTAAGGTGACTTCCTGGAGGCGCTGGCGGTGCGGGAGTGCGGGGTTAGCTCCCGGAGTGCCTCCCTGGCCGTGGGTGAAGCTGCAGCACAGGGAGGGGTCTGGAAGTGGCGATGATCCCGTTGTGCAATGGGCACTTCCTATCTGACAGGTCTGAAGGGCGAAGTGCTACGAGCCACGGTGTTACTGAGCTCGGTTTCATTGCTGAGGAGCGTTTTTTTGTATTTTTTTTTTTGAGGAGAATTTGTCTAATAAAAGCTGGCACACCTGGCAAGGTCTTCTGGTGGCATGCGGTGCCAGTGTTTGTGTTTAGTTTGTGTTCAGCTGACTGGGGCTGTGGTGGGCAAACACGTAGTGATGGATTTGCATGATTTACAGTGACTTTTTTTCATAACTCAAATGGAAAGCAGTTCATTTCTAGGCACTTTGTTGAAAGAACCACTGCAGAATACTTAGTTGAAGGCTACAGCTGTTCATAGTGTCTAAATAAACGCTGCTTTGGTGGTTGTTTAGGTGTGTAGCTGAGCACTGAATGATTTTACTCCAGTATCAGTTTAAAAGCAGGCCAGAATTCATCGTTTAGGTGTCCCTGTACTGAGCAGCACTGACAGGAGAATCTCAGGAATTGGCCAGTGCCTTGTCCTGGTGGTGGCAAAGCCCAGACCCAGGTCCTGAGGAGGTTCTGTGCACTCAGGTGAAACCCATCCCTCTGGGCAGCCCAGCTCTCAATCAAGCATTGTGGCAGTGCACCTTTGTGCATTATTTAAGCCCCAAACCCTGCATGTGACCCACTGCCAGGTCTCTAATGACATGAGTGCTGTTACATAATGAAACTCATCTGCTTCACGCCAGAAGTGCTGGGAGCTTTCAGGCCAGCACTACGACTTTTCTGCCTCCAGACTGATTTATCTGTTTATTTGGGGTTGAGTTTGCATTTTTTCTCTGCCTGTACCTATTCGGTGTGGAGCACTGGCTGCGCCAGCTGCACACAGGGAGCTGGTCTTTTCTCGGATGGGTGTGCACCCCTCTGAGCCTGAGTGCACGTGGTTCTTGCCTTTGAACTTCCTCCTTTCATTTCATTGAAATAATTTCAGAGGAATTTGGATTCTAGGAGTTAATTGCTTTTCTGCTGAGCTTCCTGACGTAAATTCTGGGAGCAGAAACACTGATACTGCAATGTTTTTGCTACCCGGGCTGCTCCTAGGAAGTCTTCATGGACTCAAGAATACAATTTCTTGAACTGTACCTGACCCACATTGTCTAGGAAACTTGTTGTACAGGTGTTGTGCAACACCTGCAAGTTTGTAGTGATTCTTAATGGAAGATGAGGTACCCAGCTGGAGCCTTAGCCATAAAAAGCAGGTGATGGATTTGAATGAGAAAGTTCTTGCAGGCTGTTATTGAAATCGATCAATACACACAGTGTGATCCTACTTCTCCACAGATTCATTATTAGAGGTTAAAAAATGGTCGAGTACAAAGCTTGTCCTGGTGTTCAGCTCCAAGCCAGTCCATTAGCTGTTGCTGTTGGCAGCTTGGCTGTGTGATTTGGGAATGAAAAGGTGAAAGCTCCAGAAGCCTTGTTCCTGAATGCCTCATCTCTTGGGGGCACAGTGCTTTGTACCCCAAATTGGAGCTAAAGGTGTACTTTGGACAAGTAGGTAACTTGGTAGGGAGGAGGGAGTTTTCTGGGGAGTGTAAAGCCAAAAAGTGTTGTCAGGTTCCAGGGTTTGTTTGTCAGAGTCACAAGCTCTGCAATCTCAGCAGCCCCA